CGAGTCTTCGCGACTCTCCTGCAAACGAAAACGTTCCGCTTGAACAGAGCTTTCGCAGAGAAGAGAAGCTTCTATCGAGATAGAATCAAAGAAATGATCGTTGCGATGCCGCGGTAAACAGCCAGCCAGTAGTTGCCAGCAGCTGTTACGCGTAAGCAAAGCTCAACTTCGAGATAATTGCAAGCAGTTGTCGCGACATGCGCCACGTTTCCGTTACAAGCGTTCTTCACCCTCGTCCTCTGTAGTCCACGGCGCGATCTTCTCGAATCGCCCAAAAAGCCGAACGAAAGAGCGAAAAGAATATAAATTAAATAGCTCAGCTGTTTCAGTGCCGTAACTAATAAATTAATTTAACGCTGCGGGCTATTTAAAAAGAAGATCATGTTGGATGCGCGGCGATAGCGCTTCCTTGATGTAGAAGTATTTGCAAATAAAATTGGATAAACTGCCTATTTTTACACGCAGTTTTTAGGTTTCGATTGAGAAGCAAGTAATTAGAAACGGTTGAATCAAACATAACGTAAATGAATTGAACAGAACAGCTTGGCACGATATTCGAGACTCGAACGAGTGGAACAGCTCGAGGAATTGTTAAGCAATCGACGTTTAAGCAGCCGATATTACAAACGTTGTTTCCGAAACACCGAGCACTTCACGCTCTTCCGTCTCCAATGCTCGACTTATCGATTCGCTTTTGTAGTCGACGAATTGTCAGCCAACGCGTAACTTTGATCTGGCTTTATTCAACTGGCGATGTTAATTAAGCGTTTGTCGAGAACGTTTATTTGGCACTGGTACGCTGAAAGGATGATGCGATCGCGAGAATTCACGTTTGATCGTGCCAAATTTCGCCGGTCGGTCAAGATGGGCACGCTGAAAGCGTGCAAACACGCATTCAATGCTGACAGGTGTAACGTGATTCACCTTGCGGGTAGTTGCGAAAGTTCTGCTGATTTTCGTCGGAACAATTATGACGGAGACTGTTCTTTTTAATGCTCTCGTTCATCTATTTTTTTTCTATTTATTTTCTTTTATTTTCTTTCCATTTATTTGCTTCAATGTCATCTTCAATCAGCCTTTGGCATAATAATAAATCAATGATCTTTCCGGTTATTTCTCGATCGGTTATATATCTCTCGTAAAGAACAATTGACCTTTAAGGACTTGAGGTGAAGTCG